TATGCACAATTGTCCAAGAAATAGATTTTAAAAGCTCGCACAAACACGTATTTAAAAATAATATTCTGTATGAAGCGAGTGGACGGTTTGTATTTCAGACGTCACCTGGCAGTGGGTTATGACAAATGTACACTTTAGATCCGTCTGCAAACTACATCATACTTTAATGTTAGTTCCATTTACTTTCTTATTATCTGTGGTGATGTTACAAATTCTTGTTCGTATCTATATTATTATAATAAAGCGTAAACACACACTTCTTTGTTGCCTATGATGTCAGCAATTGCAACATACTTTTGAATAATTATTATTTTAATAAAAAAGCCCTACACTTACGTCACGCGTTAGGCTATACATTTTCACGCCAAAAAACTTAGGGGGTAAATATTTTGGATAAAAATCCTAATATGGGAAAGTTGTTGCCAACATCAAGGAAGCAAGATAGTCGAGGTTTGTCATGTCATATCATTTTGACATTTGTATTGATAATTTGTCAAATGTAAACAATAATATAAAACTTTCATAATTTCATGCGGATGAAGCCGCACGGGAACAGCTAGTTTAATATACGCGTGGAATGTGAGAACAATGACAATAGACCAAATGGGGTCAGAGCGTTCATACAATAACTATTGCACAACCGTTTAGTTTCACTTTGATTCCTATGAGATAAGGTGGCAAACGAGCAAGCGGTTACATGAATCCACAAAAACGGGGAAGCGACCGCTGCCCATAGACATTCGCAATAGCAGATGCGTTGCCTACCCTTAATCATCGGAAGAGGACGCACATAAAGAGGATATTCCTTCTCTATGCGTATCTTTCACCGTCAAATCCACATTCCCTTCCCACCCTTTACTTATAAGAAAAAGGATGGGAAGGAAAACGGACTAAAGCTGGGCTTCCGGCACCAAACTCATCAGACAAAAAGCGGGATTGCTCCCACTTGACGCCTGTCTTCTGTGTGGTCGTGGTCACACTGCGCACTACTTGAATTTTAGTATTGCAACTAAACAGTTGTGGCTACGAAACAATCGACAATCACACAACATTGATAGTTTACTCAAAGGTCAATGCATGTCTAATACGTCATGTCCACAGCTTAATAAAAAGTTTTCAGTAATAAAAGCAATGCGGAACACATTAAAACAAACATCTGGAGCTCGACGTGACGTCAACAGATGTCGCCCATCTCGCATAAAACGCCACTTCTTAGCATTTAAATGAACGTGCTTCGGTTTTACGAGTTTCGTAGTTACTCCTAGAAAATAAAAATTTCATATTATTATATTAACAATATTAATGCGAATGTTTGGCTGGACGGATCTCGATAAAATTTGACTTAAATGTAGAGCATAGTCTGGAAAAACAAACTAACCGTTTCTCGCGACTTCGTTCATGTTATATTGAAAGAAATATTAAAAAAAATGATTGCCTATGTTAGACACAGACAAATAATCTTTCTAATGGTGAAAAAAAAAGTCGGCCCAGTATTTGGCCTTATTTAAATACGTACAAAAATACAAATCTTTCCTCTTTATAAGTATATTTTTTTTAATCCCACGCAGACGGAGTCGCGGGCGTAATGTATACCTACTAATATTATAAGGGAAAAATTTGAATTTTTGGATTTTTTTTTATAATATAAGGTGGCAAACGAGCAAGCGGCCACCTAAATCCACCGAAATGGAAAGCGACCGCTGACCATAAACATCCGCAATTGCAGATTCGTTGCCTACCCTTCATTGACGGAAGAGGAGAGGCACATAAAGAGGAAATTTTCCCTTTCTATACGTCTCCTCCACCGTCAAATCCACTTTTCCTTCCCATCCTTTCCTCTCAAGAAAAGGGTGGAAAGGGAAAGGGATTAAATTAGGCCTCCGGCACCACACTCATCAGACGAAACGCGGAATTGCTTCCACTTCACGCCTGTTTTCTATGTGGTTGTGGTATTACACCGAGCGAGCCGGCCCATTCGTGCGAAGATGTTAAAGCGGGCTCTACCACTGTTAAATTTTTGTATGTATTGAAATAATTCAAAAACTACTAGGTCGATTTCAGAAATTCTTTCACTATTAAAAAGCTACACTATCAGTGAGTTATAAAGGCTATATTTTTTTATATCGCACAGGCGAAGTCTAGAGCAACAGCTAGTGTAATAAAAACAATACGAAACAATTAACTTATACTGGGGCTATAAATTTCCAGTTGAAACGCTCCTTAAATTTCAGGTGCTCGAAATCGGCGCGATACTTACGAGTATGAAGTATAGAATAAATCCACGCCAGATGTGCCGCTCAGAATAATATTGTAATTAATTTTACATGTTATGGAGATACAAACATCGTTCGTGATTTAATTTAAAGAACGTTGAAGCGAAAATCAAAACAAGTGAAATTGTAAAAACAATTGACTGAGCATTAAGTTTATCATCCTCAAGACCAACAAAACCAGAAAAACCTAACTTATAATTTAACACGAGCTGTGGCCAGCAAACTTCATTAGCGCAGTACATTCCCTTGTGCATCTACCTTTTTGACCGACTTCCTAAAAGAAGGAGGTACTCAATTCTGTATGTTTGTTTTTTATGTGTGTTACGGCATAACTCCGCCGCTAGTGGACCGATTTTGATAATTCATTTTTTATCCGAAAGGTAAAGCTTGCAGGTGGGTCCCATTTTTTTGTTTGACTTTTGGAGTCAAAGACTACGACGTAGTGTAATAGTTTAGCTCAAAATCGCGCGACGAAATTTGGGGTTATTTTTGCTTTATTTGCTTACGTAGTCTAAACTATAAGACTTACGTAATAATGATGTATGGAAGAATTGTAGACCTTTAAATTTGCTAAATTAAAGTCCGCGAAAGCATATCTATCTATTAAGGTTGTCGCACAATGACAACTTTTTTCATTATGATATCGCTCGAAATCTATACCCCACTTTTAATCAATGAAGATTCATTACTTAAACGTTACTATACTTTGAATTGTCAATTGTTATGGTAAAAATGTAGTAAGCCTTACGTAGAAATATTACTGCATACCTCGGCTGACATAGACATCAAAGTAATAATAATTGTACAATATAGATATAACAGCTACAACAAGGGAGGTTTACTATTTTCAAAGACATATTTTAACAGTTACCTTCCAGTCAAAGTCCCGTCTAAATTAGTCCATCCGTTCCAGAGTGCTAACCTAATTCCAGAGTGTACTGTCATAAAATCTGTTCAGTTCAACGTAACACAAGCCAGGTCGGTGTAACAATAACAATGCCATGGACTGGAGATTGATTAATTCAAGGAAAGAGAATTTATTTTACGACCCACACCTGCTTAGAGTTGACGGCACACTCAATAAAGCGTAGACACGGGTTATGACTGAGTTTATTACTTTTGTTTAGACTGAAATGCCAAATTCGATTTGAGAAACTTTACTACGTTTTAGTTCAGCTGTTGTTTTCTTTTTAGGGTTGTCGATAAACTTTATAATTGTGAGTTTCCAATGTTTTTTGTTTAAAAACATTTACTTTTTTTATCGAAGGTAATGATAAAGCAGTGCTAAGACTGTGTTCTTCCAGACTTGCTCTACATCTATGTCAGATTTAATTGAAATGCGTTCAGCAGTTTAGGCTACATACTCTAACAAACATTTACATATACTTTGCATTTATAATTCTTGTAAGATTATTTTAAGGCTACAGTTTTTACCTACATAAGATAATTTTAAACGAACATCATCTTGGTCGGCCCACTGAATTCTCGTCCTACAAATTACTGTCATCCATCATCTCAGTCATCATTCCCTTCTTGATAATGTCACTTTTCCATCCATCTTTTTCTAGGTCTACCTCTACTGGTACCTCCACACTTATAAATAAAATTAAACAAGCGTCATAGATAAATTCTGCAGTCAGCATTTATTAGAAACAATATCATACTAATATTATAGATGCGAAAGTTTAGATGGATGGATGTTTGTTAGAGTTTGTAGCCTAAACTGCTTAACAGATCTCGATGAAATTTGCCATAGATGTAGAGGGTAGTTTGGAAGAACACATAGGCTACTCACTTTTGTTTTTTTAAAATCCACGCGGATGGAATCGCGGGCGAAAGTTAGTATTTAAATATATTGTAAATGGGATAACAATAATTTGAATACGGAAAGTATGACCATTGCTAATGTACCCGGTTCGGTGGCCGTATAATTTGACGGTTGAATTTTGAATAATTCAAATGTCTAGAGAAGTGCTCCGGGGTTACATTCCAAATGGTAATGCTCCGAGACTACGCCTTTTGTATATTTATATCGTAACTTGCATTTTACAAGCGACGTCAAATATATTGTGAAACATTTTATATTTACTTGCAACTTTAAAGCTACTTATAAAATCAACACAAATCCAATACTCAAACTATAACACCTATCTTTTTATGTAGATCAATGGCCTATAGATACAATATAAATCAATCTTAATATAAATCAATCTTGCTTTTTACTAATATTACAAATTTGAAAGTTTAGATGGATCGATGGATAGATCTTTGTTAGACTTTGTAGCCTAAATGGCTGAACGGATCTCCTTGAAATTCGGCACAGATGTGAAGCATACACTGGGAGAACACATAGGCTACTTTTTATTCCGAAAATAGTTACGGATCCCGTGAGATTCATTAATTTTGTTTGCTCGATAATTTTGCAACGATTCAACATATCTTATTGAAATTTAGCACAGATATAAAAGAAAGTCTGGAGTACACATGGTATAAGGTCCATCCCTGAGAAATATCCGGTGCCCGAGGGATACGTAGCTTTTTGTTATTTATATAGTTCGTATGTTTTCTCATACCACGCGGACGAAATCGTGGACAACATCTAGTTTCTCATATTTATACTTTCAATGTTTGATTTAGTACAACTCAAAAACTTATCTAATTAACAATAGGTTTATTTTCTTCTGATAATTTATTACTATTTTGATAATAATATTATTTTTTTATAAGGTGAATGGCGGGGCGAGAGAAGAATGTTGGATATAACAAGAGACAAGCCTGTAAAGGTTTGCGTGCGAGTTGTGGTACCCGTCCGTGACCATCCTAAGGTGAGCTTCGATGTTAACATTGTAAATGATAATACTTCGAACAAATATAATACTGTTGGTCAAAGTTATAATGACAAATTTAATTTTGGTAGATTAATTTACAGTGGCCTTTTAAATTAAATGTTTATTTAAATGAGACAAATTTTATTATAAGTTTTTTGCGTAAAATATTTTCTGCATTTTGTTTTTAAATTTCTAGCTTAATTTTCTATAGTTGAAAGAATCTTTAAAATTCAGTGTTTTACCGGAACATTTTTCTTTAGTAAAATTCAATTTAACTATGGTTGTTCTTATTAAATATTTTCCTTTTCAGTTTAATTTCGTGGGAAAACTGTTGGGTCCGAAAGGTAACTCGTTGAAGAGACTTCAAGAGGACACTATGTGCAAGATGGCGGTGCTAGGACGTGGCTCTATGAAAGATAGACAAAAGGTAGACCTCAAAACTAAACATTACAATTATTTTAAAATGCTTCATTTTTATATGTCACACTCAAGGCCTATAATAATACCCCCTACAAAGAGACAGACGCTTCTGATAAGTCAAACGGCCTCCCAGACACTTTAATTGTCCCTGCGGCTCAAATGGCCATTCCATTCTAGTACTAACGAGTACTATCTAATGATCTTCATCTTCCACCTTGTCGTCTTAGGGTCGGCGCAACAGGTTTTTGTCCTCCACATAAATCTATCACACGTCAACTCAGACAACACTCCCTTTTTAATCAAGTCTATCAACCACGAGTACTAATCGTATAACAATAAAACTTTTGAACATAAGTGTCGTCGAGTCTATAATATTTGTAGTTACAGTATAATTAATTATGCTAATATTTAAATGTTATAGGAAGAAGAACTACGAGTGTCGGGTGACCCTAAATTCGCACATCTATCAGACGAGCTGCATGTAGAGATCAGTGCGTTCGCTACTCCAGCTGAAGCGCATGCAAGGATCGCGTATGCACTCGCAGAACTGAGAAGATTTCTAGTACCTGTACGTAGTTAAAGAATTAAATTCCCTTCCCACTTAGAATAACTTTCAGAAAACTGTCATCGTAAGAAAATAGACGAAGACCGAACTAGGTATGAATACATTGTGTGAAAGAGGTTATGCTTAAGAAGGAAGTGGATTCAGATATAATGCCTGATAGAGAAGTATGGAAGAGTGCAATTGTGCCTACCCTCTTTAGGGAGAAAATTAGTTTGAAGATGGTAATTTTGAACAAACACAATATTTACGCCAGAAGAATATTTTCAGCATTCTATTTAACAATCTATCTATTTTTTAGGACTACAACGATGATATAAGACAAGAACAGATGCTGGAAATGCAGATACTATCATCACAGAGCGAACAGAGACGGCTGACTCCACCAGACTCTTCTAGAAGTGGCAGCGAGGAAACCCTACCACTGAGAGATGCTGGACCTAAACAAAGAGTAAGTAAAAAAAATCGGTAAGAAGTGTCGACAAAATCAGACACATCATACTAATATTATAAATGTTAAAGTTTAGATGGATATTTGTTAGAGTTTGTAGCTTAAACGGCTGAACGGATTTCGATGAAATTTAGTATAGATGTAGAGGATTGTCTGGAAGAACACGTAGGCTAGTCACTTTTGTTCTTTTTAATTCTACGCCGACGTAGTAGCGGGCGAAAGCTGACTAGCTTGTTGACTAATTTTATTCTAGTGTTACCTTATCCATGTTAATCTTATAGCAGATGCCAAACGTGCAACAAGCAGTGCCCACTTCTCTGCCCGGCATCGCCCTCAGCCCAGCGAATGTTCGGGACTTCTCTCCTCCAGCACAGGAACACATATCTACACATCATCAGGTAAATCTTTTAAATGTTGTGTGACATTATAAAGTACATGAGCGTCATGATCTGAGTTGTTGCATTGTATTTTGGTAAATCGTTATTGATTTTTAAATCTTCTAAGGAAGATTTTGTTTACATGTTCATCTATAGTTCACATTATTAAGATTTTATTTCAAGTAAGCTGTTGCATGCGACTTCGTCCGCGTGAAATGAAATAGCCTATGTTACTTATAGATAAATTACCTTTCTACGGTGAAAGGAGTTTTAAAATCGGCCCAATGGTTTTTGAGTTATCTAATACACTTTAATTAAATGCAAATCATTTTTTACAGATACTCCTAACGGAGTAATTTCTTCATTTTCTGTTTCGAATATTTTAGTAATGCATTAATTTTATTTCAAACTAGTTGTCGCGACTCTAAAAAACAAAGGAGAGTCTAACGGAATAAATAGTATCCTGTCCGGGTGTAACTTAGAGCCTCCTGGTTCACCAATTTTGAGCCATATCGGTAGAGCCGTTCTTGAGTTATAAATAGTATTAACTAACACGACTTTCTTCTATAATAGATATTTATTTCCTTCAACTAACTTTTTACATCATTTTCTACTCACTGCAGTATTGCAAGACAATTTAATAACTGCTCTTTTCTACCATTTATCAATGTCAGAAAAATATATACATTTATACGAGTATTTCATTCGTTTCAAGTCAAGTCCACTTTTATAAAAAAAAACAGAATTTAGAATTTATTACCAGATGGGTTTTCAAAGTGCTTTTGAAATGGTAGCGAAATTAATTTGTATTTTAAAATAAGAAATTGTGTGCCATGCAATTCTGATAGCAAAAGCGGTTGCAAACAAAAATAAACCTTAATTCTAATAACACGAGGGTGCAGGTTGCATTACATTTTAAGAACGTCAGTCAAATTAGAACATCAAAAAGCACTTTAGTACAATCAGGGAATTCAGCAGTGTACCACTTCAATAAGTACAGTTTGAACGCTTTGTACGCATTGACACGAAACAATAACCAATAGGATACAGTTTTAAAATGTGTCTATACTTAAGACCGGTTAATTGATTTTTATTTTTTTGTTATCAAATTGTTTAAGCTATCGTGATCGTGAAACATTATCTAAAATAAATCAAGGACGGCTCAATTCATATTGCGAGACGCGACGCGACCGCAAAGAAAGCAAACAAGTACTAGCCCTGAAGATGAACCCCCGATGGGTCTGAAACAGCATTTATAGCTGAGCGAGGGCCCAATCCGGTCAGCATTGCAACGCTAATTTAAAATATTAT